GATGAAACTTATATATTTAGATCTCATTATTATCAATATAATTATGCAGGAATTCTGATAGTTACCCTGATTCAATATAGCATATCAATAATTCAAATTTTCTGACACCTTTTTAGAATCTTAAGAAAAGAATATATCAAATTGATTATGTTTCTATAGATAGATATGAATAATTGTATTCAAACTCTTATCTAGAAATTATCAAAACAACTAAAGAAGTTATTAATAAAAATGCAAGTCCAACTCCACTTAGTGGTCGAAAATATAATCCTCAAGCGTTATATCTTTTTATTGGAAAACTGATACTCGATAATATAAATAGATTGTAGAATAAGAGAGTTACATTTTTATTCGAATATTATAACTACAATATTGATGGAAGAATAAAGAAGGAAAAAATTATAAAAAATGTATGATATAATTTTCAACGAATAAAACAGCAATTAGCGAAAATAAGCATATAATCAATAAAACATTCTATATAACAAATATAAACAAATACGAATATAATAGGAATATAGTTTAAAAAACCTTTATGGCATAGTTATAAATAATATTTAATTTTTTAATACATATAATGCAATATAATTTTATTTGAATTGTATAGGATAATTTTCAATTCACAATTTCTGTTGTCACAGATGCCATAATTTATTTAGGGGTCGTGTAAAATCATTTGATTTGATAAGCTCCTCCAATTTTTTCATATGACGGTTAACAACATTAATAACGGAATTTAAATACACTAATTAAGCACTAAATAATGGCGAAAACTGGATGTATAGTACTCCTATAGTTTTTGTTTTGGCACGTCGCCATTATTTGTTTATTTTTGTTTTTTTCGTGAATAACTTTTTATTCTTAAATTCGGCTACGGAACTGATTGAAGCACTAACCTCTACTAACGAAGCACTAAAGAATGATATAAGTTTCATCGTTAGTGCTTCCAAAAGTTCGGCCAACTTCACGCCTAAATCGTGACGTCATAGTTTTTATTTAACTTATAACTTTTTTTATAAGGCGGTTAAGTAAATTAATAACGGAATTTAAATACACTAATTAAGCACTAAATAATGGCGAAACCGGATGTTTAGTACTCCTATAATTTTTGTTTTGGCACGTCGCCATTATTTGTGTTTTTTTTGTGAATAACTTTTTATTCATAAATTCGACTACAAAATGGATTGAATCACTAACCTCTACTAACGAAGCACTAAAGAATTGATATAAGTTTCATCGTTAGTGCTTCCAATCGACTTTTAGCGTGAAGGTGGCTCAAATTTTTATTTTTGCTTATAACTTTTTTTTCTTAAATTCGGCTACTATACGGATTGAAGCACTAAAAAATGACATATGATTCATCGTTAGTGCTTCCAATCGTTCGGCCAACTTCACGGAGCTCCAAAGTAGACCTTCCTATATTTTTGTCACAAAAAAATAATGAAATAAAAATTTTGAGACTATTATATAAAAACAAACAAAATTTTTATTATTGTAGATAAGAATTTAAAAAATTAAACATTCAAGGTTATATTGATAGCGATTCCTTTAAGATAATCTAATCTTGATCGATTTTCGAAGTCAGAAACAATTGTTACTATTCTCGCATGTAGATTTCGATATTTTTTTCTCGGGGTAGAGGGTGTTTCACCAGAATTATATTGAGCAATTTTTAACTAACCCTTGTTGTTTTTTTAAACCTAGAAATAATTATATAGTTTATTAGTAAATCTTTATACTATTTAAATCATTTTAAAATAATAGATATATAGATAACTTGATATAAATTTCCACATGTTTGGATGGTAACTTGTTAGGAGGGAACTGAAGCATCTATGCCACCCTTCAACCGCGTTGTTGGTTTTCGCTTCCCCGTTAAATGTTGATTGGTAACAATTCCAGAGTTCAATATTAAACAAAGCAGGTAGTCTGCCTCTTCCAAACGTTTTACCAATATAAGCTTTTTCAAAAGTTTCAATTAGAGGCTGAAGTAACAATTGATTATTAGAATAAAATTCGGAGTTTATTAGTAATTCAAATGTTTCAACTACATTTAAGGGTGGCACAAACGCCAAACAAACCATCATTCTAAGTTGTATATTAAATTTTACATCTGTTTTATATTTCTGGATATTTTTGAATGTTTCGCCAAAAGGATTGGCCAAAATGGAAATAGAACATTTGTGTTGCGAACTGGGAAATATTGAAAGCTTTTCACTGGCCATTTCAAAATCCGTCATAATTTTTTTTGGAGTTGATATTAAGTTGTCACCTATAATAGTAAATATTCTTTTATAAGTTTCATAAACCTTTCTATTGGTCAATATATATATGAGAGGTAAAACATTATTTCTAATCCCATGAATTGTATAAATTTGCGTAAATAAAGGTAGCGACGATTTAAATGTACCATCAGAAAACCAATGTTCGCATGAAGCTAAGAAGTCCAAATTTTTTCTTGTTCCAAATATGATAACACGGTCGGGAACCTGACACACATGATAAATAAATAAGCAATTATAATAAAGTATTTCTTATCGGGCAGCTTATCGCAATAAAAATGAAGGATTTAGTTATATTTGTTCAAAAAATTTATAGAAAATCTTACCGGACCATCATCATGAAGTATGAAATCCTCATATGTATCTGTAATTGAATATTTATGCGGAATTACCAGCTCAATAAGGCTGCTAGGATTCGGAGGTGGTGCAAAACTGTTTGAACTCCGCGTTCGGTGAATTATACGTTTCATAAGATTCGGTGATGGTAGTGCCATTGATATGGAATCACTTAATTGAGATACGTGTTTCGTCACAATAATGTTTGGAGTTTCCATAGTATTATTCAAAGCTTCATTCTTAATTGAATTGATTATTTTCTTGGTTTCCATTTCGATTGGATTTTCTGGATGATTGTGTATTTCTTTATTATCTTTTATCTTACCATTTTTTTTGTAAGTCGTACGGGACATTTAAAAATATCTTGATTAATGCATCTATAATAATTAGTATTTGAGACTACTTTATCCAGGCGGAACAAATAATTTTTAAAGGTTAAGATCTCCTTATTTTTGCTTGATAACATATTTTATAAGACTCCGAAATAAAGAGGAAAGAATGGCGAAAATATTTATAGCCAAAGGAATGGCACCAGCCAGACGAGAAAATTTTTTTTTTAAATTTCGGCAATACTTTTTTTTATTATATTTTAAAATTATTTAAGATTCAATAAAAACCCATATCAAAATATTATATTTAAATTAATTGAAATTAATGCCGAGATATTATACTAAAATTTTTATCACGCCCCCCCCCACCTCCAAATAAACAGAAAAGATAAAAAGATATCTATAAAGATAAAATAATAAAATTAATAAATATTTTAAATTGGGGAAATCCCTTATTTCACTTAGATGTAATTTATTTTTGAATTGCCATTCAAAATTGATATTCTAAACAGTATTGTTGTAGACTTTATTCATCTACACTGTTTAAGTAAAGTGAGCGCCAAAACCACGGTTGTGCATTTGACCGGTCATATATAGTTAAAATCAAATAAATATTATTTTATATTGAATATCATCATTTTCTTTAATATTTTTTAATCAATTTTTTTTTTGTCTAAATCTTCAATCGATTTCTGTTTTAGTAAGATTATTGACACAAATCGACCAATTTCTTTCTGAAGAAGAAGTAGATCTAGGAATTGTTAGTAATGTCACTTCTCTTAATGGCCATGGTGGTCAAAGCTAATTCCACTGCTTGAGATTAAAATCCCCCATGATTTTCTATTAAATAAGCCGCTTTTATTTCTGAAATTTATGATATAACTTGAAATATTTTGATCACCATCTTGTAAAATGCTCTCCTTAATATTAGGAACTCAATAAGCATTGTGATCACATTTCACATGTATTTATATCGTTTTTTCTTTTTCAAACATATTTTTATATTCAGATCTTATAGAATATTTGACCATTTAACCAGGTCAAATATTCTCCCGTTCAATTGACCCGTCAAAATCTAGTCATTTGACTGGTCAATTGACTGACTTACTAACCCTGGCCAAAATTGATTGATAAGTTTATAAATATTAAGTCATCAGACAATAAATAGGAATGCTACCCAGATATCAATTTCGCCAGTAAATATCAAGATTTAACTAATAAACTCAATGATTAATATATTGATAAAGCTGAGTTCCTTGTGCGCGATTATTATAAAATAAGAACTTCGAAGGAAAGGATAGGATAGCGAAAAAAGTGTATTTCAATAAAAATTTTATAAACCAGATCTAAGTTAATTAATCATTATATAAATTTTTTAAGGTTAAAAGAAAATTACAAACTATGTAAATTAAAAAAATATTATTCAAATAATATAATTATAAAAAAATGATTCAAAATAAATTAGTCATTATTAGCAATTATCGCGATATTAAATTCTCTATAATATCTTCGCGATATATGTTTCGCGAAATAATTGTCGCTACATTCTCTTCGCGATTTGGGTTGCGATAATAACTTCGCTATAAATTTTTCGCGATTAAAGTTTCGCGGTAATGTATTCGCTTTAAAGGTTTCGCTATAAAATTTTCGCGATTATTGATTCGCGATAAAAGTGTGGCGGTAATGTGTTCGCTTCAAATGTTTCGCGATAAAAGTTTCGCTATAAAATTTTCGCGATTATTGATTCGCGATAAAAGTTTCGCAGTAATGTATTCGCATTAAAGGTTTCGCTATAAAAAATTCGCGATATTGTATTCGCGGTAATGTATTCGCTATAAAAGTTTCGCTATAAAAAATTCGCGGAATAGTATTTGCTATTATGGATTCGCGATAAAAGTTTCGCTATAAAATCCATTCGCGATAAACGACATTCGCGATAAAAGTTTCGCGAAAAAGTGTTTCGCTATAAAAGTTTCGTTGAATTGACATGGAACCTTTTAGAGACCACGAAGTTAAATAAAACTTTAATTTTATTTTTTATATAAATATTTAGGACAAATCTAATGACTGTTTCTGGACATTCGAATTCAAAAAAATTGGTAATCCTAAGCCATACACTACGTTGAAATTGAAGCCTTTTTTATACAAAAAACGATAATTCGTTCTGAAATTGATTTATTTTTGTTGTATTAACTTCTTTATCATATCGATTGTTATAAAAAGGTGTATTATATAATGATTTATTATTATTATAAATAAATACTATTATCTTAAAATATTTTAGTAGTAAAATATTAAAATTAATTTGTAATGTGTAATAACTAATTAATACTTATCGATTTTTTTAACATAAATAGAAAACAAAATATAAGGAAGCGATGAAATAAAATTTCAAATATAAATAAACAAAATCAAGAAAGGAATAAGCTAATAAGACAATGGAAATTCGATTTAATGGCCTGGATTATGTCTTTGACGAAGATATCTCTCTTTTTGGTCCTCATTTTTGACCGAAATTCGTTGTCCAGTTTTTGATTAGGATTTGAGCTTTATGACCAAAATTTGCAAGAGTGGTTATGATAAATGGAACGAAATAATATTGATTAGAGATGTACACTTATTTATCACATTTCAATTTTTCTATAGCTACTAAATCTTTGTTTAAGTTTGGTCGATGCAAAAAAAATCCTAAGCTAGTAACTTGCCATTTTCTTAAGGTTATCTAGTGATTCCATCCAGTTTTCTATTGTCAGTAAACCAACCGATGAATTCAGTCATGGAAGGAATCCCAGCTGAATTTAGAGAATGCTTGATAATTGAGTTGCATAAAATGTGCCTTATAGCTGGCCCGCTACTTCTGTTGCATTGAAGTGTCCCCGAATCAGCCTGCTTATGAATTATAGCACATTAATGTGAGAGGATCGAGTTGATGTTTGAACGTATAGCAATCGCTAAACTAAATTATTGGCCAATGACTTCAAGGCCAAGGTTTAGAAGAGATTTCCTTTAAAATTTATGACCTTATCCATGTTCAAATCAACAAAAGAGGAGTTGACAGATTGCAAGTTGGTGTAAAGATAATCTAGGGTACCTACAATCATGGACGCATCCCAATCTTATTGCTTGGTCGAAGTGGGAAGAGGAGTATCAGATGCGTTTGTGTTGCATTTTAAAGAGAAAGTTTCATCTAGTAAATACTCTGTTGAAAAAATGAGGCAGGATAGCAGTACTCGCAAGCCTAAATGAGATAAAACGATTAGAGACCGAATTCCGATTCCTCCACTGGAAGTAAGTAGTGTAGCTTGAAGCCATGAGAAGTCATAAAAACGAAGATTGGCAATTTTTTCCATATTTCTTTTATTTTTAACTCGTAAGTTTTGAGATATTTATGAAATTTGAAGATAGCAGTGGACCTTAAGACATATAGAATTTTGGGAATATTGAAAGTGTTTTTTTATTAGGAAATATGCCTTAAGATTTCCTCAAAGTTTTTGAGGCCAATTAAGGATTTCTAAAAAAATTTTGATCGCTCCCACTCCACCGGTAGGAGATTTCACCTGATGTGATATTATTAAAACTAATTATTTTCAACGTCCGATTGTAAGGGGTAGAATTCGGTTTTGTTTGTGTTTAACCTGAGACCACTACATTTTTTTTATGCTGTAGCCTTAGCGATCTCCACAGATGTAAAATTTATTATATCGTCATCAACGTACCAAATATGAAGATCGAGCATGCAGTTGCTTTTAATATTCCCAATAATACAATTAAGACCTAAACAAAATAGTGAACCTAGAGAGTCCCCTTGTTGAATGCCTTCACCAGATTATTGGTTGTCCGCTTAGATATTATTTTTCTATCACACTGAGAATTATTTATCTATCAAACTGTCTGTGGAGAATAGTTTTTATTAATTTAATAAAAAAAGAAAAGTACATATTCTGCCTAAAAACGGCATTTTTATACCTTATAATTCAATAAATTCTTTATAAAAATAATAGACTCATTCTGAGTCTTACAATCTAAAGTCAAACAAATGTGCCGATGTTAATAAACCAGATTATTGCGCGTGATAAAAATATAATGAATTTACAAACAAAAAAAATATATACCAAAATATTAAAAAAAGCACCAATCATCACATCTTCACCCTTCCCCACCCCAATGTTCTTCATTGGAGAAGCAAGGGTCTCTGCTTCCTATGACCTAAATAATTCCTCGAATTCTTTCGTCCCTACTCCCAATTCCAGGAACTCTTCATGCCGCCTGTCTGTCCGGGATCTCTAATACCGATGGCCTTCTTTGTTGCCTGAATTCCCGACGCTTCCCCCACGTGCTTAGCCCCACTCCCTGTCTCTCCGTCATTTACTTCCCACGCTCATCTGTGGATAATATATCTTAAGTGACCCTCTACTCCGCAGCGGAAACAGTGAACGTTGGCCTCCAATCTCGGCGGCAGCACCAATCGAGTCTCCACGTTCCGGGCTCGGGGGCTGCATACATCTTGATATCCAGACATTGCCTCCACTCGCTGACTAAAGGCTCCATATCATTACTTATACGTCATAAAATATTAATACTTTTATAAAATTTACCTCACAAAATATTAACTCCCCTCTCAATTTTTTCTCAAATTTTTTTTATTAATTTTATAAAAATTATCTCATCAAAAATATTACCTCACTTTCTAATAATTCTTCTTTTTCCTAAAAAAAATTTACCAAAAATATTACTTCACTTTCTAAATTTTATTTTTTCAAAAAAAAAATAATTTACCATTTTACAATTTAATAAAAAAAATCATAAAATAATTTACAACTAACCGGTTTGTTATGGTCATTTTATTATGTCTTCCGAAAAATAAATACAACCTCTTTGTTATATATTAAAAGAAACTTTAATAGAAAAAATACTTATAAAAGAAATTTAATAAATTAAAAACAAAACTATTTTTGTTCTCCTTGCCAACCCTCACCCCTCTTATAAATCACTCTATTACACTAATTTACTATAATTTTCTCAACATTTATACCAAGAAACAATTTTTTTGATTCACAAAACTCAACTATAAAATGATATGAAAGTATTTTATGTCACATATTTTTTTTACATTTTGCTAAAAGTGAAAGTGGTATAATACCCGGAGTTGGATACGAACTAGCGAATCGCCACCAAATATTTTAACTGTACATTTGTACAGCTTAGCACGATGCCATAACGGGATTTTTTATTATTATTAATTTATTTTAAAAGTTATCCTTTTTAGACCTTATGAAAATATATATGCCCAATATAGGTGTCAATCGGTAGCTAATCAAAATATTTATCCAATAAGGTCAACCTCTCCTCCCTAATGGGCGAATTTAGTCCCAGGGGGTCAGTAATATTTTAATTAATTAAAATATCATTCACTTCGTCATACTGGTTTGATTTGGTATGAAGTGGTAGATAAAAAATAATAAAATTCTATATAGGCATCAAATAAAGGTAACTAAAATTTCCTATGACCTTGTTGTATTCACAAAATATTGAAAATTTTTTAATTTTATTTTCTCTTTAGCTTTCACCTTTTCTGGTGGTTAGCTCCTTCAATATCTCACTCCACTTCATGCTATTCATACTCAGGTTGGGCAGTATCGCGGATATTTGTATCTTCTTTAAATTTTGGAAAGTATCTTTTATCCAGTATCTAAGATACATATTATTTTAATGTATTTGTATCTTAACCAACTTTGTATTCAAAAAGATACAGATACTTTAAAAAAAATTTATATTAGTTAATTTAAATAGTATTAAAATTTAAATTAAAAATTTAATCAGAATTTAGATATTTTAAGATAATTTATGATATATGACGTTGGTCGTCTTATAAAAATTTGCTAACAATTAGAACTACCATATTTTATTTGAATCGTTTTATATCCGTCTATTATAAAATTACTGCAGAATTTAAAGAATGCCACAAATCTATAAGTTGTTCTGCGGACTCGTCATCAAATTTTGTCAAGCATCTAAAAGTATAATATATAATTATATAATAAATCACATTTATAATCATATTCATTATCATTTCATATTCCCACATTCGTTGTCTGTGTCATACGATAAGTCTTATTGCCACAACAGATGTCGAGAAATCTATTAAGGATTCTCCTAACATTTCTAAATTCATCATCCCACAATTTCCAAATTAAGCTATGGAATGCTAGTAATAGACCTAAAACTGCAGAACTTATCAAAGCAGTTTTAGGAAAACAATTAGTTACACCTTGCTACACAAGATGGAATAGTATGTTTGATAGTCTTAGTAGTTTATTAAAATTTAAAGGCGAACTTCCTAAATTTTGTCAAAAATTAGAATTTCCAAAATTAAGAGATATTGAAATTCGATATTTAGAAGAATATTGCAATATAATATCCCCATTGGCTATAGCGATTGACAAAATATAAAGTGACTGCTATTATGGAAAATCAGCTCCAATATTAAATGTCGTTAAAAAAAATACAAATTTAATTCAAACTAAACCATTAGCTATTGCCTTAGAAAATTCTTTAAATAAAAGATTTAAAAATATATATGATTTTGATAATAACTTTAAAAGCGCATTTTTGGCAACTATTTCTCATCCCTATTTTAAAAATCGTTGGATTGATGGTGAAAAGAAAAAAAAATACCTTCAAGATTTGTTAATACATGAAGCTTTAATTATTTTTAAAAATAATATTGAAATTAATACGTCAACAAAATCTTCAATTGATGAAAATGATGATTACTTTTGTTTTAAAAGTACCACATCCAATTCTAATAATTCAATAAATGATATTAAATTAGAGCCTAAATGAAAGATGACAGGCGCAGTATAAATATGTTAAATAGTTATAAATATATAAAAGAAATATTTATCGTCTACATGAGCGGGGGGGGGCAGTTAGCATCCTATTTTTTTGAGGGGGGTAGGACTGCTTTAATGGGGGTTGGATAAATTTTTTTTTGGGGGGGGGGGGGGTTATCTATTAAATTTTGAGATGAAATAGGACAAAATATATTGCTGTAAAAATTAATACTTTTATTATAGAATTATTATAATACAATTCGTCGACCAAATCTATATATTGCAACAATCATACACATTGTTTTCCAAATAAAACTTTCTGCTATCCTTTTAAATGTAATTTTTAAATGTAATTTAAAAGGTTTAGATATTTCAGCAAGCTCA